GGTGTTTCTCACATGAACAGTATATTAAAATACTTGCACTAAAGAGTGTTTCTCACATGAAAAGTATATTAAAATACTTGCATACAGGGTGTTTCTCACATGAACAGTATATTAAAATACTTGCATACAGGGTGTTTCTCACATGAACAGTATATTAAAATACTTGCATACAGGGTGTTTCTCACATGAACAGTATATTAAAATACTTGCACTAAAGAGTGTTTCTCACATGAACAGTATATGATGAAGGCACTTAGATACAGGGTGTCAAGAAATTATGTTAATATAATTATTTAATTGTGTATGAAAGACAAAAGTCTTGAAATTTTTGAAGAAGAATTACATCTGACCAACTGAACACATGCATGGTAGAACGATATAGACCTGACAGAAATTTCAATACATTCAGAAACGAATATTGATAATATTTTTAACATAATTTTCGGACACCTTATAGTTAATAATCTCAAATACCCGTAGACTCATCATATTTTGCTTTCAAATAAAAACCTTACATTATTAAGGCATACCTGTAAATTCCTAAGATAAATATATTTGCTTAAATTTTCTTCGAATCTATCTAAATTTTGGATCACGGCTTTTACTTGCAGGTTGCGACATCTAACGGCTGGAGGCAAAATTCCACGCAGCTCCATCTCTTCCCTTTCTCGCGTAGAAACCGCCAAACCCTAATAATAAACATAGAATATCATATGGAATAAAATACTTTTATTATTTCCTTTTCTACTGTTAGTCTTACTTTAACATATTAAATTTAGGCCTATCACTTCTACGATAGTTAACTTCACACCGAACTTTTCCTTGGCTGTAACTTTACTCTCTTCAGCTATTGTATGTGTGTTGTTTCCATTCGTTTCACTCTATTTATATGTTTATCATTTAATCGTCTGCCTACCTTCTAGAAATCTCTATATTCTGTACGTTAATGTATTGAACGCGACGTTCGATAGTCTCAACATCAATGAATTATAAACACAACTTCCTGCTTTTAACTCTTATTATAACAAAACTAAACAATAATAAAATATTCACTCACA